TTTGTGTCAAGTCACTTGGCAAGCAGGCACACACACACAGCGGGAAAGGATTGTAAGGACACTAGGGAAAATATATAGTAACTATCTTGACTACATTTTTAGTAAGATTTTAAGGTAGTCTATTGCAGTGTTTACCTTAAAATAGGGTTATAATGTGATGGAATATTTAAATATTGGAATATCCTATTCCTATTTGTTAAAAGTCTCTTCTTTTACTGCGTCAAAGCTGTATTAATAATAATTATATTATTATAATATATTTTCTGTTGTTTGTATATTTGGAACTTGTTTTGCGATTTTAGTTATTCTGTAAATGTATCAGAAACGTTACCCATCTAAAATATGTTAAATATATTCTATTTTACCTGTGCACATTTTAGCCTTATTTACATCTGAGTGTCTTCTTAATATTTCTAGGTCTTTCTACTGACCACAATGACACCAAAAAGAAACAGAAAAAAAGAGAGATATCCAAATTCCCCGACTGTCAGCCTGTCGGACTAATTGCATTGTCGGGCTTTTTCGTTATTTTGCATGTAAAACAAATTCGTGTGGTGCATAATTTAAATACTTGGTCAGTCCAAAATGAAAATTTAATGCCACAAGTTCTATGGGGAGGCTGCAAGGCTGGGGATTGTGAATTGTGCTGCTGTTCCAGTTCTTGTTTTTGTTTTTGTTTGGTTTTTTGGGCTATTTTAGGCCCAGCTGAATGCTTGTTATTTGCCCCAAGGAAGGGCAATAATTTTGCCGATCAATTAGGTTTAGGGCAGCAACAAATGCGAAAAGTCAAGTTTCCTTTTTTTTACGACTACTATAAACATAAAAGTTCTCCCCAAAGATATATACATACACGCATATTCTCCACAATAAAACCGAATCTCATACAGCATCACAGCCACGTGGGTATGAGTCTGTGTGTGTTTGGCATAATAAGTTTTGATTTGCTTTTATTCGCTCTTTTGGACCATGGCACTCATATTTACCTTCTTGACACCTTAATGGACAAAGGGCACGCACACATGCACACAGGACAGACAGAGAGAAAGAAAGCCAAGAAAATGAAATGAAAATGTTCAATTCACCTATGCCGTCAACACATTTTGTTTATTTATCATTCATTTTAGGGCCAAAGCACAGAGAAAATGGCCCAGAAATCTTTCTCGAGGTTATCAAGATACTGAATGCCCTGAAAGCAGGGCTAACAAATCTTTGCAAAGATTTCATTCAGATTTTCTCCTGTCACTCTGCATTGTGGAACATTTTCTTTACCAAATTTCCAATTGACAAATACTCTAAGCTCTTGAAATTGATTTATTGTTATACAATAAATTACAAAACAAACAAATTACAAATTTCTATATGTTCCATAGTTTCTATAATAATAAAACAAGAAAAACAATGTAACTAAATAATAATTATGAATTAAAGAAGCATTTATTGTAATTGCTTCTTCTATGTTTTAACTTTAGTCTTACTTTGCTTCTTTTTGTTTATTATAGTTGCCTAAATTGAAAATTCCTTTGCTGGTTTTGATTTTCTTGAAAAATTTACTTATTAAAATACCATTTCAAGCTTCTAGAAAATCTACCCATACTTGGCACTCCTGCAAAGAGTATCAAAGAGGAAATGGCCAAACGCCATGGTTGTCATTGGTTTGGCATTGGTTGATGCCTTTGCTTTTTCGGCCGAAAATACGCAGGCCTCTCTGGCAGGAGCAGATGGCAAAAAGGAAGCTGGAAGTGAAAAGGATATAGAAACCGAATGGAGGCAAGAAAAAGCTGCCATGTCATCAACATAATGACGGTGCAGACAAGTTGAATATGTTTCTTGGGTCTCCTTGCCTCCTGTCTTTGCCCTGATGCTGCTGTTGTTCCTGTTGTTGTTGTTGTTGTTGTTGCTGACCTGCCCTTTGCTGATTTGCTGTGCGGGCGCCACGCTGCGTATACTTGTTCTGACATTGATCGAATCGCATTGCCTACTTTTTGGGGCCACTCCATACTCAGTGGGAAATGAAACCCTGGCGGCTGTCAGTCCAGCTTTTCCCCAACGCTTCGCTGCGCACTTTAGCTTCTGTCATTGGCTGTCAGTTGGAGTCCAATTCATTTCTCTTCAACTCATGCCATTGACCTTACCCCCCTCTTCCTCTGAGCTTTGTGCAATTGAAACTTTTGTAGGAGAGGAAAAAATGGCAAATAAAAGAGTTTAATGCAATTGACACATTAAATGAGCCTGCCACAATTGAATCAGTAGCGAAACCCGATCCATTCTACCGTATTAAATATTCCTTTCATTTGTTTTAATACGATATTAAGGTTTATTTTTATTCGACTCAACGGACTGTGAATAGTTATTGACGAGCATTAGCACATTAAGTGCCTTGCAAATTTGCAAAATTCCATATTCAATGCTATTAAAATATTTATTGGGGGGGGGTCGCATTTTATAGATTTTTTCCGAGCACTGAAAATATTTGCCATCCATAAATATTGACAAATGAAAACCCAAAGAATATATATTTTGTTTGTCATAAAAACAAAATGGTTGCGTTTGTGTTTTTTTTTCTTCTTTTTCTTTATCCCCTTGATAACGACGCGCATTCAGGCGATCCAAACTGTCAATATATAAATGGATATATATACATACATATATGCATTTATATATATTGATTTATGGCTAGGGTTTGGCCCGGTCGGGTTCGCTGTTTTTGTCATCTGCCCCACAAAAAAGGCGGCGCAACTATTTTGAATGCCACAATTTGTCACAGAAGAAAAATAAAACGAGGTGAGAGGATTGCCCACTGCAATTCAATTTAACGTTTTTGCCAAATTGTTGCCATTTTAAAATATGAAACAAGCCAAGCGTGCCAGTCAGAAAATACAAAAACCGAGATAAAAATAATACATGTATAGAAACAGGCCAAAAGCTGGCACAACATTTTCCCAATGGAATATTTTGCACGTTTTTCAGCCGGAAAATCGTTTCGTTCGTTGAATGTTTGTGCGTCGTGCAGAAGATGAAAATCAGACCAGGGGATCCTTGCTGTCTGCCAAAAAAGAAAGGGAGCATTTTTCAATTATTAAAAACACTGAGTAGGGAAAACAGCTTTATATCCTTTCTGGTGAAGGAAAACCAGGAAATCTATCAATGGCATACGTGAAAACTCTGGGGCAACAAGCCGCCACATTGCATATCCATAAAGTATAAGGTGAAAGGCTTGAGAGCAAGAAAAATAAGTGTTGCCTTCACGAAAACTTTAGAGTTTATCTTCAGCGGTTATTCACACCTATGTGTGTGTATGGCCGGAAAATCTCCAACCACGAGTCAGGCCAGGAAGAGGAGCAGTCAGTCGCAACCACAACTCAACTTGCTGCAGGATGAATGACAGCGCCAGCGCTGAGTTGACAGCCCGCCAAAAACTTAATGCCAGGAGGAGCTTTTCCTAAAACGTTGCTGGGAACACTCATCCATCCATCCCCTTCTAGTTCCCCCTCCTTTCACAACTTTGACTCGTTTTTTAGGTTTTGCTAATCTGCAAAAAAAGAACAGCAAACGCCGGCCAAAACAGCCAGCCAAACCCCCGAACAAAGATAACTTAATTCGCTTTATGTTTGGCTTGCGAAAAAGTGCAGCTAAATGAAAATGTTATGCCAAACTTTTCGACTCGCTTGGCTTATGGAGGGTAAAGATTTAGAAGACGCTCAACTCCTAAATATAGAAGGAAATGAGCTGAGAATTCTATGGATCAGGGAAGCTGGCACGAATTTCTACATATTTTTTGTACACTAATGAACTAAAGTATAAAGAGGATAAAGATGATTAGAAAAGTCTGTAGAAAGTTGTACGCGATTTTTCCTCAAAGTCTTGGGGAAATATGCTTTGAAGTTTGTTTAGAAAGTGTGGAGTTTTTAGAATATCTCCAAAACACAAGAGAAATTTTTAGAAATCTAAGGAAAATGCAATTAAATTCATTTTAATGAAGTTAAATTCTCTTTGCTTTGAAATAAAAAACCGAAAAATAAAATACCTGAAAAAGGTAATGAATTTGTATAGATACAAAACCGTAGCCACACATTTATATATATTTATACGACCCCCATAATGAACCAAAATCTATGGATTTGGAGTATATGCATACCTCTACCTCTGTTTCAGTTTTTCAGTTGCTCGTAAAGTCTTCATCAATTCGCATTTAAGGCAAGCATAAAAAAAGCGGGAAGTTGTCCGATTTTCCCCCCTTGGCGTAATGAGGCAACACGGGACTTGGTCCGGCGACCGACCTCCTTTTTCCTCTCCGCCCAACGTTTCGGCTTTTTATGTTTGGCCATAAAATGCGGACAGCTCCTAGTACTGGACGTGGATGGGGGGACAAGAGGACGTGGAAGTGGTTGTGGATGGGGCTCCATTAATTATGCAATGTCCGACTGGGCCGAAAAAAGCCTCAGCGGCAACTCGCTCGGCGACTTTTCCGGGGCTTTTCCGCACTTTGTAGATCGTAATGGGTAACGGATGAGTTGGTGGGAGGCGAGGAGTGAACAGGACAGGACACACAATTTGCATTTCTCATTGATTTTCCAGTGCATCATTAAAAATGCATTTAACGCAGAGTGGAATACACTTTAAGCATTGTTCTTAATTAATTGTTTCGTGCGGTAAGAGAACGCCAGCCTTTGCGGTCAGGGAGGCATTTTCCAACCGAGTGAATATAAATGTTTGAGGTATCTTTTATGATTTTCCTCCACTCACAACACAGAGACTCGAACTCGAGCTCGAACTCTACGAACTTTTGGTGGGTCCTGTCTCTGCCTCTGCCCCTCTCTCTCTCTCTGTCTCTAATTAATGAAATGAAAATATTTGCATTTTAACAAAAGGAGGAAACGTTGATGATGTCCTGGTGAAAATTAAAAAAGTTTTCACTCACAACGCATACTAGCTATATGTTTTGTTATATATAAATATATATACTTATATATTTTATTTGAAATTTTTTCTTTTATTTGCAGAAAGCCGTAAAACCCTCGGCAGCAGCGCCAGCATCGCCCACATCCTTGGGCTCTCGGGATGCTATCTATATCGATGATGATACCATTGAGGGCTCCGGCGGACGTGGCGGAGTAAGTTGATCATCCCTTTTCACATATAAATTAGTTAATTAAATTTTCATCATGCTCAAAAGAGTTTTGCCATGTTAATTCAGTAAGCTGATCACAAGAGTGGGGATTCTTTTGGCCATTTGCATATCAGAAAAGTCTGCAGCATTCTTTACTTGCCAAAGTTTATGTAAACATGGTTTTTTTGTGAATATTTTAATTTTTGCGATTCAGAGTTTTTTTTTACCTTTTTTTGGGGAGGGTTTGCAGTTGGGCTCAAAGAAAACTTTGTGGTTTTTAGGAAACGGCAGAAAAATGTTGGGAAATGTAGAAAGATTTAGAACTAAATGTAGTTACTGAAACATAAACTGTAAGCTTTAAATTTTATGAATACTGTTTGTTAGAGAAATATTTTATTGATACTAAAAAATACTATAATTAAAAAGGAATGAAGAAATCTAGTTGAAAATCCCTTCAGACTTCTTTAAAGCGGTACAAGCTTAAAATAATATTACCAGCAAGGGTCTATTTATTAATGGAATAGTTAAACATTTATTTGCATTATTTGCTTTATTTACTTGAACAGCTTCAACATGTTTTTAATAGATTATAAGTATAATAAACTCTATATTTAAATACCTCTATCAATCCTTATTGAAATATGTACATAAAAACATGGCATTTATTGATTCACCGTATCAGGCATAATATTCAATTTAATATCCCCAGTTAAAACCGCAATTTTATTAGCCAATTCTGCCTGGCTTATAACTCCCCTTTATAACCATGCATTTTTATATCCGGAAATAACAGGCATGCAAAAAAATCCATATATGGATATAAATATGTATGCAAAAGTTGGGGCCTAAGCTTGTTACGTAATCAAAACTTGACGTGGAAAAACTCATTTGTTTATGCGCATGAAATGTTAATGTTCAACACCTTTTTTTCGCCAGCTATGAGTGTGAAATGTGTGCAGGTTCTTTTTTTATATTTAGTTTTATTTTTTCGAAATACGTATGTGCATTTGGCATGTGAGCGACATTTGTTTGAAAGTTTTTTGACATCACTGTGCTGCTTGTTCCGCCCAGGACGCGTCAATTGTTGAAGCATACTTTTGATTCACAGAAACACACCACTTGTTCATCATACACGAAGCAAAAAAAAAAAAAACTAATTAAAATGCGTGGCTGACATTGCGGCGGCACAAAATAAAAAAAAAAATGGAGAAAATACATTCCCCAAGCGAGTAGAAGTAAAAATAGAAAAAGTTAATTAAATTCTTTGGCTTTTTCGCTTGTTTTCCTTGGCTCGTTTTGGTTTCCGATTTCTTTCCTATTGCCGCTCGAATTTAATTAAACATTTTGTGCTCTTTTGATGGGTTGGGTTTTTCAAAAAAAAAAAAAAAAATAATAAAAAGGGCAAAGAAGGACCAACATAAATAGAAAACTGAGAGAAACTTTTTCGCGGAATTCAATCAACGAACTCGTACATGCGGGGCACGTTGCATACTTTATTGAGTCACTGTGTGACTAGATCAACAACACAGTTACCCTCAAAAAGCTATTGACTTAGGCATTAATTTTGCATGGAAACTGTGTTACTCACCAGGACATTTAGCTGGGATTTTTGTCAGCTTTTTGTGGAAATAAGTAAACAAAAGACCCTCAAAGAGGATTTCATATTTATGCTGTGGAAAAAGGGATATTTTTAAAAGTTTGGAACTCGAAGAATTTTATGTTATAGATAACATTGAGCGGGCTATATAAATTATATGACTCTTTTTAGCTCTGTAAAATATAAAAGTAGAGAAGATTTAACATTTTACTAGGAAAATCTACCTTTAAGTAATTTTCTGTTAGGGTATTTTAACCCATAGTTTTCTGATTTCCTATATTTTTTTCTACATTTTTTTCTATTTCTTTAAAAAGCCACTGTGGCATTTTCTAATTTCCCTTAAATCCTTAGCCCCCTTATGTCCCCTATAACCGTTGTACAATCTCCGCTAGCCGTTTCTGTTCCGCTTTTTGCACCATTTCCGCTGCGGTGGTCCTTCTCTCCTGGCATGATGTCCTCTTGCTCCTGTCCGTCCGAATGTGTTGGCATTTTTATGTTTTATGCAACTGACAAACGTAAAAGCGTCTCCCATGTGCTGGATGTCCTTTCATGCCAGCTCCTTTATCCTTTTTTTCCCACATTCCTCCCTAATTCTATCTCCTCTTTTTGTGTTCTCTTCTCGCTTAAAAAAAAGAGCAAAATAAATGCAATTTATTATGCGCTCTGCTGATCTTTTGGGCCAACTACTGCTCAGTCTCTCTCTTTAAAGTGATTAGGCCAGTGGCTTCATGGATTCCCGTGGTCCTCGCATCCGTTGAGTCATCCATTTCCTCCTCCTGGGGGATTCATTATTGTATTATTAATGGTTGGCCGTTGTTTTTTGCTCGCTGCCTGAATTATGATAGATTCGCAGATTATTCAGTCAGAGTTCTAATATGTCATTCTACTTGGCTCCCAGTTAATCAACGCCGCATGTGATGATTAATGATAGTCATCACTCGACGATGGATCGTAGAGAAATCTGTTGTCTGGCACACATCTACTTCGAGGGGGTTTTAGTGGTTAAAGCTTTAAACTTGCCGGGCCCTTTTGTTTTATTATCCGCCTGGGATGCCTAAGCGCCTGTTTAAGCCAATTTTTGTGGGACGTGTCAACAAGATAATGAACTTTTGTTGTGCACTTTTCGAAGGTGCTGCATGCATGCATACGTTATGTGTACGCATACATGTGTAGGCAAACATATGCATATGAGGCTGTTGACTGGAATTCGGTTTGTTTGTATGTAATAAGCTGCATGCCACGAGCACACACACACACAAGTGCAGAGAGAGAAAATATATGTAGTTCAAAATATTTTCTTCATTCTTAATCCCTATTGCATTAATTGCAAAATAATTGAATATGTGTTAAAGATGATAGATTGATATGGCCTTCAGGTCCTTAACTTGGCTTGGCATTTATTTTGCTTAATTATTGTAAGCAATTTAATATTTTTTATAAGATTTTTTTAAGTTTAAAGAAGAAAGGCAAGCAAGCTTATGAAGAATGGCGAAAAGATATTTATTTATGTAATCCAAATTCGTTTTTAGCTTTCCCAAATGATTTTTTATTTCCCTATACCCCATCTTTCTCTCAGTGTTTTACACACACACACTCTCACACAGATGTGTCCCATTGCATTTTGCGCAATGGACAAAGCCTGCGAGCGAGCTTGTCGTAGGTCCTTGTTGATTAATAACGTGCACATGGCGCACGTGTTTTTGTGGATGGCCAAGAGGAAAAGCCTTTTTGCATAACACACACACCACACACACTCTCACACACACCGCACACACTCTCGCACGTAAGCCCCTGCATTGGTATTCGTGTCGCATAGAGAGAAATGCGCATTGACAATAAATTAACATCGATTGACATGGCTAGCAGAGAATAATGGATCGAGCCAGGGCAAGAGCAGGATGAGGAGGAGGATGAGCAGGAGGTTGTTGAGGAGGTGCCTCTGGCTCTGGTCCTGCCCGAAAAAGTGTGCCACAGAATGTGTTGTGTAAACAGGCAATCCCAAACAACTTTGATGATGTGGTTTGTGTTAGTTGGAAATATGCTGTCCATATACCCAGCCTGTAAGCCCTGTATCCTGCTGAAGCCTGGATACACCAGCCAGTAACCAGTTTTCCGACGCTTTGCCTCCTCTGTGCCTGTACTTAAGTACGTGCATATAATTTTCCAGCGTTACGTTGTCGTACTCAAGCTGTCAATATCAGTTGCTTACATGGGAATTTATTGGTGACAGCTCCACATAATACATAATGCATACCCACCACCCCAACCCCCTTTTTCACACACACACACACACACACACACACCCCTGTTCAGCTGTCAACTGTTAGAAAATGGGGGTTCTTAACCGATAGACATTGAAATTTATTGAGATTGTATGTGTCTGTCGCAAATGAGTTTATGGGCCATGCCATGATTCCCCTAGAAAAATCCCGACCAGACTTTTTAATGCTCAAGCAGGATGTGAATGTGTGTGAAGGGGGTAAAATATGTTGTGTATGCGACACATCCTATTCTATCCAGTGCCTTTGCATTCATTACTCAATGTCGTTCTGCTTTTGGCCACCAGCACGCGAGTATACAAATGATGTTGCATTATTTCACATAACATAATTCCCCCCACTCGCGTCAAGAGGAAAAGCCAAATGAATCCCTCTATAACCGGGTAAACAGGCACCCAAAACAACATCAGTAATCCGAGGCCAAGCTGGAGGGGCCAAACTGTTTTTCGCCTAGGAATCTTGGACTTGGTCTACAACAACTTCCCTTTTTATGAGACATCTGTCGCTGTCTGTTTTGTGGGTTATTGCGCATACGCCGTGTTGCCTCAGGCAAAGCCTTCAATGCCTATTGAATTAAACACCCCAAGCACGACCAATGCGGACAGCTTTGAAACTGGTAATGGGATACCCTTCAAAGGATGTTGTTTTCAATATGAAATCGTTTTAAATAAACAGCTCAGTTGGTAGTAAATAATTAAGAGACATTAACTAATGTAAAGATGGAAAAAACCCCAGAAATATAGTTTTTATTTAATTACTCTACCTTAAAAAGCATTCAATTGATTTACATAAGCTCTCCTAAAAGTTTGCAATTTAAAGAATATTTACCAAATTCATTCAACTGTAAACTAACTTTTATGTTATGTTGCACTCTAATTGATATGCCATTTATGGCAAATAAATATTAAAATTCATTATTCCAAACTCTGCTGTAACTATCTCAGTTATTTTAGCCCTCAGTTCACTTAGTTGTGCAATCAAGGGATTTTATTTTGCCGCTATTTACTTAGCAATGCAAACTGACGAGAGTCAAAGTTGCCATATCACCTCGCATAACAAAGGAATTCAGCCTTTTGGCAGCAGAAGCAGTGCTCAGCAGTAGCAACAATAACAGAATCGAGAATAGAA